GCAAGAAAAGTAAACTTGGAATGATGCCAAGTTGACTTTCGCACCCTCGAAGCCATTTTGGAACCGTTAATTGTGATTAGTTACATTCCCAGTTCCCAAACAATCCAATTAATGGCTTAGATAATGAACACTCAAAAGCAAACACAGTATCTCACTACTGCTTGCACGATAGATTCTTTAAGGGCTCAAAAGCAAAAAGGTCCCACGTTAAAGAGCTTAACCCCTATCTTAGAATCCACCGGCTTTGATGTCGTTGGAGGAGGTGGTGGCAGTGGTGCAGGGACCAACATGGCTCCAGCTTGTCCATTGTGGAAATTTGTTGGGACACTGCACTCTGGTTTTGGTGATTTGGCTAAGAACACCTTGCACTTGTGGTAACTTGTTGTGGTCAACTACTTTGGTTGGATGAAGAAGAAACCATTCTTGTCTGTCGTGCCTAGGATAGTTAAAATAGGATTGGGGTAAATGTAGGGTATTGGGTCAGGTCGGATTAATAAAATAAGGGTGATGGATCGGATTGATTTAATATTCTTTAAATTAGGGTTTTGATGGAATGTGCCAGATTGTGACACGTGTCAAAGTCTGATGCTAAACATTTTATTAGTGAGGTCCGTCTAAAAAAGGGCATATGTGAGCCACCTTATACATGGTAAAGGCATATGTGAGTCCACCTTTTAACGACGGGCACATGTGTACAATTTCATATAGTTCACTCGCATATATGCACATTTTCCGTATTGAGTATATCACATTCATAACTATGCGATCATAGTAAAAGAGCTATTCTTGCTAACCTCTAGTGGATGATTTATCTCAAAATATCAAGCAAATGTACCAATTACAAAACCCCAGTATATTGTTGAATTGCTTGGAATCCCCTGGCTGCCTCCTCCTCCCTACAAATCAACACTGACAGCCATTGATTTACTCAAACCAAGTACATATTGAAATAATTACTAAAGATCTCACTTTTAATGAGAAAACTTTAGTAGATTACAACTTAAATTTGAATTAATCCAATTTGAATCCAAGTTTTTAATGTTAACGTTATGTATTATTTTAAGAAATTTTAAAATTATAAAGAAAAGAGGCCCACATTAGTCTAAATGAGAGAAACTAATAACTAGTAGTGGGGAAATTCACCACTCTATGCGCAGGGAAAGAGCCTCTTTGTATGCTGATGCGATCCATCACAAGATAGCATCGACTGTTGCGAGGTGTACTAGCACGCTCCAGGGTTCAGATCCCTGGGGGCATTATCAGCTACTTCAGCAGGCTGATCTGATCCGACACTTGCCAGACATCCACCTTTGCAGCCCAAGTACTTTTGCATCGTTTCGCACTGGTTGAGCAATAAGAATTTGTTGGGAGCACAAGATTAACCACTTGAGTGCATACCGAATGACATGATTCACCATGTCTTCCTATCACGATATTTATACCAGCCAGTCTTGCTTCTGCTTGTGCACCAGAAGAACCGGAAGAATTAGATGGTATAGAGAAACAATGATGAAATTCACTGAGATAAGCATTTTCATGAACCACACTCTCTGAAATGTGACGACATCTTCCCATGCAAAAATCAAAAAGGCTTGAATAGGTCTGTTTTTCAGTGGCGGACCCAGAACTTAACATAAGCGGATTCAACTAAAAAAATCCTAAATAATAGGGACATAATGTGGTACAGCAAGCGGATGTAACCCCCCCCTCCCCCCCCCCCCCAATTATACGAAAAAAATTGGGTAAGAAATTTTTCTAAACATTAACAAGAATCCATCTACTTTGCAATAACAGTAATACCTAGTATAATCCCACAAGTGGGTCTGGGGAGGATAGTGTATTGGCAGACCTTATTCCTACCGTGTGAAGGTAGAAAGACTGTTCCGATAGACCCTCGGCTCAAGGAAAGAATTTCAAAGCCACCCCCCCCCCCCTTTTTTTAACTAGCTTAACAATTTATTAATTTTAAAAGACGAAATCTATTAAGCAAAACTAGAAATTTATTAATCTCTAAGAAATTTACCAAAAGCTCAACAAAGGACAAGAAACATAAAGAGTTAATAACTAAACTAATCTAAACTAGTATAAATTGCAAGAGAGAGGGGGGGCTCATAAACAAGATTAATAATTTTATTGTAACACAAATAAACCATTTCACTACTTATAAATAATTTCAGTGATTGCACTTGCATATTTAGAAAAAATTATGAAAGATTTACTTCGCAGAATTAAAATATCTAACTTTTGAAGTAGATTGAAACTTCAGAATATTTTTTATTGATCTGAAACAAAGTAAAAAACAAAATAGAAAATAGAGATAAGAAATAGAACATGGTGAGAGGAATAAACTAAGAAGGGGAGAAAAGTTGTTTATTGAACTTCAGTTTTAACTTTCGCATGGCATCTTTTATTATATTTTTGGCATATCCACTTGTGCAAACACGTGCAACAAACAAAAAAGCATGGGCAGAGTAGAGACGAGTTTCGAACACCTGATCTTTAGGAAAATTTGAACCCGCAAGACCGTTGGACCGCAAGACTATCATGTTTCAAGTGGATTCAACTAACTTATATGACCATTTCTCATACGGTTAGCCTATATAAAATATTAAGATTTTTTGACGAAGCGGGTTCATTTGAACCCGTATGGCACCATGTGGGTCCGCCTCTGCTGCTGTTACAGGCTTAGCTATCTTGACATTTAGAGCCAGATCCTATTGTGTCCTTGATGGATTTGTCGAAATTTAATACATACGCAGAGCCGTCGCAATGGAAATTAAACAAGGAACGTACCTTCAACCATAGTTGTTCAAGCATTGTAGGGAATAGCCTTCGTAAAACTTTGACAGAAAACCTAGGAGCCTTCTAGCATGTGCCTATCGTAGAATGCCAGACTGATGGAGTCACAGGCGTATTTATAGGTAGGCTAGGGACTCTTAGGCAAATACTTTAGCCCTATGGACTTCTCCATAAATTATAATTACCCTAGGGACTCCTAATATGTGGCAATTTCTTTCCATCAAAGAAACTACCATATATGCATAACTACAGAATATTATCTAATATATATATATATATATATATATATATATATATATATATATATATATATATATATATATATATATATATATATATATATANTTATTACCTTATATGTGGGCCACACTAGAAGTCTCTAAAAGAGACTGGTAAATTTCTAACATTCTCCCACTTGGCCCACATATTAAAATCAGATAATGCTTTATGAGAGATAAACATATAATATGGCCATAGACTTTATCACTCAACTAAAAGTTATGCAACAATCACTTTAACTAGAATATATTATTACACGAATCATGGCGGTCATGCTTTTAAACAAACACTTTCTTCCATGTATTACAATGCACAATACATTCTAACAAAGTGTCTAACAACTTTATGAATAAACTTAATATAAGTCATTCGGAGTCCAACTTTGTTAATCCAATAATCACAAATAATACATGAAAAATCAAAAGTGTGCACTGTCATGTGTATCAAAATAATCATAATGTCTAGACAAACTGTTAGAGAGCAAAATAAGACTAAATTGAGCTACTAAGCCCCATATGAGTTACATGATCCTTGAAAATATTAGCCGGCAAATCTTTAGTCATAAGATCAGCAATCATCAAAGTACTACTAACATGCTCAAAATTCACATCTTACTTCTTCACATAGTCTTTAACCATCAAGTACTTTATGTCGATGTGCTTGCTTCGACTGCCACTTTTATTGTTCTTAGAGAAGAACACTGCAGCTGAATTGTCACATAAGATTCTCAATGGCCTTGAAATGGAATCGACAATCCTAAGGCCGGAAATAAAGTTTTTCAACCATAACGAATGTGATGTAGCTTCATATCATGCTATAAATTCAGCTTCCATTGTGGATGTTGCAACAATGGTCTGCTTGACACTTCTCCAAGACACAGCACCTCCAGCAAGAAGTAAAATGTATGCTAAAGTGGATTTACCAGTGTCTTTGCATCCACCCAAATCAGAGTCTGAATATCCAATCACCTCCAACCAAAGTGGGTGACATCAAGTCTACACCATGAGATACTCTAACTTGTAAAGGCTGATCAATAGCAATTGTATGTCCATGAGTAGGATCAACGGATGATGAGGATAGGTGCTTAGACAAAGACTCTGCAGGTGGAGAGGGTGAAGGCGGATTCGATGTATGCGATGGGGATGGAAGTTGTGGCAGAGATGGTTGAATACTTGAAGGGTCAGCAAGAGGCTGGAATGACAACTTCACATTGAGAGGTTCAGATTTAGCATTGGGTATAGATAGAGGTACCACGACATCATCTGAAACAAATGGAAAAATATTTTCATCAAAGATTACTTGACGAGAAACGTAAAATTTTGAAGAAACGGGGTCAAAGCATTTGTACCCTTTGTGTATACTATTAATCGTCTACCAACCCCACGTTTAAAAAGTAAAACTCCTACGTGACATTATCCTTACAATAGTAACACGGTTAAAATTCAATAATTATTTTTGCACGAAACTCATAATAAATGGTGACAAAAAAATAACGTGGAAACACACGCCTATACATACTAGTATTATAAGTTCAAAAATATATGGGATTGTAGTAGCTAGCGATATAAAAAAAAGGGGCAATGTCATTTTTTAGGGAACAATATTTTCCTATTTTACCATTTAGAATGCTCCATACTCCCCATTTATGGATTCAAACTGGGTTTGTTGTTGTTGTAGAATGCTCCATACAAATTATGTGACGGTGTTTTAATTTCGGGGGTGGAACAAGTTTTTTTACCTTTAAATTTTGCATATGCTAGTTAAATATTTCAATTGTTAATTATTTGGCTTTTATTAATTTTACGTAATATGTAAATTTAATTTTTAAAAAGAACTAAAGATTTTATGTTCAAATTCTGTTAAAATTAAAAGGTTTAAATTTCAAAATTTGACACATAAATTGGAAAAGACAGATAATAGAATACGCTAGGGGGGAAATTACGAAAATTAAGAGAATAGGGTGCAAATTAAAAGTTGTACATAGATTAGAGTGAGCAAGAAACTCCATATGTAATTGTTTCGTTGGAGAGAAGCATGTTGTCGCCGCCGCCATCACCGCCACCGCCACCATCACCAGCGTTGTCAACCGCAGGATCTCGGTCCCCGCCGGAGAAGAAACAAAAGCTGAACGAGGGAGATGGAGATGGAGATGGAGATAAAGGTCAAAGCGGAGACTTATCAGCCGAATCGGATTCAGATTGCGAAATTCAGGAGGATACTATAGCTCCCGTCATGAAGTATTATTTAGAAGGAATTTGCCCTTGCTGCAATCAGAAGGTCGACAAAGCTCTTTGGCAGAGGTACCGCCAACAAATCAAAGAGAGCGAGGTATATTCAATTAGTAGTATTTTGTATCCTTCCTAAATTTTCGCCACACAAATATTATCTCTTCTGCTTAATCCCATTATGTGTATATACATATGTTCTACCTTCTTTTGTTTATTGCTTTATTATTTAGCTCTTACATGTCTTTCTTACTACTATAAGTAACTATGCCTCTGGTGCATGCAGTAGGTGATGTTTGTGTGTGATTGGTTGAGTTGTACTTTGCTAGGGCTTTGACATTAAATATGAAGATTGTCCTAGTGGATGCTCGATGGTGACCATCTGGCCCATGACAGGGTACTTAAATAATCCTGAGAATGTTAAGGAGTTGGAAGATTATGCTCAAAAGGCACTTGATACATACAATGCTCGAGAGGTATGCTCTTTTCACAGTTTCTATTGTCTTTCCAGTTGTTCTTTTCCTTTTGTTTTCTCTAGAAAGCTAAAAGCGTTCCCTTGTACTAATAATATTAGGGCACTAAATATGTGGTCGAGAAAATTCTTAAGGTGAATGGAAGTGGCTGTCATGACTTCCATTTCTATATTACTCTTACTGTCAAGACATCTGATGGCGAAAAGCTGTATTTTCAAGCTAAGGTGGTGCGAAGTTTGGAAGGTTCTTTGGATTTCCCAGTCGTCAGGCCTAGGGTAATGAGAACTGCTATTCATTCCTAATTCTGTTTATATTTTGGCATGCTGAAATTTCTAGCTTTAGTCTTCAAGTTTCATAACTTTAACGATCTCATAGAAGACCACATGAGTTTTAAGTCATTAGGCTGCTGCAAGGTTTAGATTAGTCGCGACAAATTAGCATTCATTAAGAACCAACTAGCTGTTGATGGTAGATATAAGTTCTTACTAGACAAAATGTTACTTGTATCTAACTTTATGCAACACTATTTGACACCACATGCAGATCAAGATATTAATTTTGTTTAAAATTGTATAAGTAGTAGAAGAAGAAACTCTCAAAAATAGAGGGTTGAAAAGCTTTTTGATAAAAGAAAACCACATGAAAGTTCAAGTTTGTTTAAATTACTGAACTTCAAAATATGTTTGTATGAGATAATGTTATTAGTTGAATACTAGAGTGATCAAATATTTGAGTTGTAAGTTAAGTGTGATTATTTGAGATGAAGGAAGCATTGAGGACCTGAAACATATATCTAAACTATATGTGATATCCAAGTTGCTGTACTTGTCAAATAAATCTCTGAAGAGAAACTTGTCCTAATACTTATATACTCTGAAATTAGGAAAACTAGCCACTGGATCAAGAGCAATTGTGCTGTTTTTTGGGAATTCTTTCAGGATTGTGAACCTGGAGAGAGTGAAAACTTGGTGCATTAGACCTTAGCCAAGACACTGGTTCGTTTGAGGGCTTTCCTCCCTCCCTCCCTCTCACCTCTCCCTTTCTCTCGCCTCTCTCTGTTTTCTC